TCATGTTGAGATATTCGCAAAATAAGAAAAAGTCTTTCAAATATTTTTATTATACTAAATACAGGGGAACACAGCACCACCATGTAGCCTGTTCATGTTGAGTATCGATGACATTGTTAGAACAAGTCAAGAGGGATTGTTTCTTATAGTTCTCATAGAGTTTTTAATAATGCAATCTTTTAGAAAGAAATGCAAGACTCCAATATTTTCTTAAGCCAAGATTTACACGAAACAAAAAATATCATAAACATTTTTGAACACTCGGTAACAACATCATGTATATCTTTAGATTCAATCAGCTAGAAAGTCATTAGAACTAGATAATAGATACTTGTAGAAATTTTGGCGAGGTATTTTCTGAAACAAAAAGTCAAGGTACAGTCGTTTTCTCAAATGAAGATATTTGCAAAACAAAAAAGATCTTCCACTTATTCTATATGGTGGAACATTTTATCACTTTAAAGTACTTCAGTTTTACTGCTATCGAAAACTTATTAAAGGAACTTCATTGAAGCTTGCGTAGCCATTTCTGTAGAAACTTTTACAGCAAATCTTTTAAAACAAAATTCAATACTGTCAGATTTATTCATGCTGAGATGATGGCAAAATACCTCATGTTGCAATTATTTTGGTTCACGCGGTATATATACAACTTATTATAGATGAAAAATATGAACATACGATTACTCTTTATCGATCTAGAAGACAACTTCACATACTTGAATTTTCGAGTCAGTTACAATAGTAGTAAAATTAAATTATCTTGAGTGTGCGTGTGTAATGGATATAATACTCATAGTCACATCCATGCTCACACCCTCTCTCTCAATCGATCGATGTCTCATATAAATCTTTACATTTTTTACTTGTTGTCATTGCGTAGAGTCTCCATCAATGATCGTAATACCATATTTATCAGTCATACAATCGACATATTCATCAGAGTTCACTATGGGTAGTCCAACATATTATCCAGGATGTCGGTTTGGGATTTATTACTATCAAACTACGCGAATCCATGTGACAGAAAATGGATATTATGTTCTGAGCATTCCTAGTGAAAGTGGCACAATCAGTTACATTTACAAAGATGATTTTGATCCAATGAATCCTTTAGAGAATGTATTCTTGGTAGCTGATCAAAGGTGTACTGATCGAGTTGAGAGGATCATCGCTTATCTTCATACCGACACCACATATATATTAGTAGTGGGAATGTCCAATCAAGACAAAACAGAAAACTTTTCCATTATGGCATCTGGCCCAAATAACATCACCATTTATCCCTATAGTAAGTAGTTTGAATTATGTGTCAATCATAAACATAGAAGCACATCAACTCACTAAATTCGATTTTCACTTTTGATCCATAAGGGCGTGGGTGTGGATACCGTATTCACCTAGCACTCACACCTACACCCCACATCCTTGTTGCTTGCGCTCAAAAGAATGCGCCGACAGAACTTTTTAAATTGAGAAAAATTAACCTCATTTCTTGTTGATCATAAAAGTCTTTCTCTAGATCAAACGCGGACTAGTTGTTTCATCGGCCAAAAGTGTAAGTTCTACAAGAAAAATATTGGTGTCATTCTCGATGATATTTTGCGTGGTGAAATTCGACCAAGAAAGACATTGAATGATCAAACAATATTGATAAAAATCAATGCCGCTGTGACAACGATTATGTTTGCTGGAGGTTTGATCAATAGTATTTTCTCTCTGTTAACATTTCAAAGTAAAAACTTGCGAAAAGTTGGATGTGGCATGTATCTTTTAGCATCATCAATTACTTCTTTTCTTACACTCAGCATGTTTACAGTGAAATTTTGGTTTGTTATTCTCACTCAAATGGATCTATCGATTCGTTTTTCTGTTGTACGAGGAGGTTGTATATCTATCGAACCTCTTCTCAAGTTCTGTCTATATTTGGATGCTTGGCTCAATGCCTGTGTTGCAGTTGAAAGAGCGATTCTTGTCCACAAAGGAGTCAACTTCAATACACACAAAAGTCAACGTGTTGCTCGATGGATAATTCTTGTATTGCCATTTTGTATCGTCGGTTCAATCATTCATGAGCCGTTACATCGGGAACTACTTGAATTTAAAACAGAAACGAAACCAGTGGAAATCGACAGATGGTGTGTCACTCGTTATTCGCCTTTTCTTCAACAATACAATACAATTATCCTATTTTTTCATCTTGTCGCTCCATGTGTTATCAATCTTTGTTCTGCTTTATTCATCATATTCGGATCAGCCCTACAACGAGCAACAGCACAGACAAGAAAAACTCTACGAGAACATGTTCATCACCAATTTCGTCAACATAAACAGCTTTTAATCAGTCCCGTCATTCTTTTAGTTCTGGCTTTACCCCGTCTCGTCCTGTCGATGTTATCTGAATGTGTCAATCCGTCTAAACATCGATGGTTATTTGTGTCTGGTTATTTCATTGCATTCACCCCATCGATGCTTATCTTTGTTGTCTTCATCGTTCCTTCGGATTTGTACAAAAAAACACTTCGCGAATCACTCAGACAATGGCTACGCCGACTTCATCAATAATCAATGTTTCTTCATTGTCTTCGAACTTTTGTAATTTGTTGGAATACTACTGGCAAAAGACAGCTTTATTCCTTTGAATTTGACAAATGTCAATTAAACAGAATATTTTTCGTCTTTTACATAGACAATCGAATTATGAAAGATAACCTTGATGAACTTAGGGCGATACTATTTCTAATCTGTTTAATAAATGGAAAACATTTGAGAAGTGAGTTAGGATTTGTTCTTCACTTTTACTCTTTATGGTAAGTATGCACCAATTACGAAACTGACTGGAATTGGCATTGAATTTACTCTATTTATCAAGATTTGCTCAAAAACCAATCTGAAGGTAGCTTTGAACTAATTGCATGGTTTGAAATCGTGTATAAATGCCGATAACTAAATAACTATAAGTAACTAAAACACAAAAGTATATCTTCCCTTGAGGATAGAAGATAGCATACAATCATAGTGCTAAAGACTCTGATTTTGAGTCGCTATGTAAAGAATACAGTTTAAAAGTGACATAAATGATAGGAGTCGACTAAAAATTTCTGCTGTATTTATTAGTGTCCTGATCATGCCCTGAAAATCGACTCAATTATAGCATCTCAGGCACTTCATGATGTACAAATGTAATCTTAATTATTTGCATACATCTCGAGGGGGATGGATGGGATTGAAGGGTGTTAAACTCTTCTTCTATTCACACCCACCCTTATTATCCAGTAGTAAGTAGGTAATAATGGTCAGACATTTGATCAGTAAGGAAACAAATAACACGTTAAAGAAAATTTTTTCAGGGATTTTATTCATTCTAAAGATATATCAATACTGGATTTTTTTTGTTTTACCTGCATGTGCATATTTCTGATAACATTATATTAGTCATAGAGCATGCATACGCGTTGTCTGTGATTTATGAAAATAAAAAGAAGATAAAAAAGAACAATTGACAAAACATAAAATAATTAAATGTTTCTTTTTCTGTTTGATAGAAATGATCTTAATCTTTTTTCTCATCGTTTCAGCAGAAAATAATTGTAAATTTCGATCATTCCGTAATAATGCCTGAAGAAACAATTTTCTTTAGGGTTTTCTTTTGTAAGGCCAAATATTTCAAAAACTTTTCTTTACAGATTATTTTTATTGAATTGTCAACAATAACCATACTTTAACGTTCTTTTCGTTTGTTGGTAACTAATACATATCTCTGATGATACCTGTAAAATTTTATGACGTATATTTAATAGACAGGAAAAAACCAAGTGAAATACTGATAACAGAGAAAACAATGTAAATGATGATAAAAAGAACAATTGCGAAAGAAAATTCTTATATTATAAAATAACACATTATTCTCATTCATTTATAGAATTTCTTCTAGAAGTAGTTTACATTACAATAAACAATGGGCAACTACACATCAATAACATCTATTCAAAACAATACACAAGCTAATGCCAAACACGTATCAAATTTTTCTAACGATGCAGTTGCAAATCGACGTATTAACATGCAAAGAATGCAAAATGTGCTCTTGGTTTGGTTAGATACCAACATTAATGAAAACAATGCTGATTGTAGTGATACAATCAAACAATTAAAACGTGTGGTTAACAACGTAAACACGTTTACTGATCGTGAAGAGTGTTTTGAATTTATTCTAACCATTAACAACAACAAAGTATGTATGATTGTTTCTGGTTCACTTGGGCAATTTATTGTGCCTCATGTGCATGATATCTCCCGAGTAGACACCATTTTCATTTTTTGTAAAAATCCAGAATGGCATAAACAATGGGCTAAAGAATGGTCTAAAATAAAAGGAGTCTTCACAGATATATCATCACTCTGCGAAGCTCTGAGACAAATTGCTCACCAATGTGAGCAAAATGCTATCTCAATCAGCTTTGTGGCATCAAACAAAAAGTTGGATCAATTAGATCCATCATTTATGTATACTCAGATCTTGAAAGAGATCTTCTTAACTATAGATTTCGAAGATAAGCACATTAAAGAATTTATTACTTATTGTCGTGATGTATATGACAATGATGAACACGAATTAAGAAATATTAATCAATTACAAGTAACATACAAAAACAATATACCCATATGGTGGTATACATGGGATGCATTTTTATATCGTATGCTCAATCAAGCATTAAGATTAATGGATATTGATAATATTGTCCGAATGGGTTTCTTTATTAATGATCTACATCGTGATATTCAACGACTACATTCGGAACAATTTGATGATCATCAATCAAGTAAAACATTCATAGTTTACCGTGGGCAAGGTCTTTCGAAAGAAGATTTCACCGCAATGACAAAAACTAAAGGTGGACTTCTTTCATTTAATAACTTTTTATCCACTAGTAGAAATCGTGATGTTTCTCTCAATTTTGCCCAACAAGTTGCTACAAATCCTGATCTTGTTGGAATTCTATTTATTATGTCAATTAATTCCGTGTGCTCAACAACTCCATTTGCTTCTGTTACAGATGTTAGTTATTTTCATACAGAAGATGAAGTTCTCTTCTCTATGCATACCATTTTCCGTATCGGAGATATTGAACAAATGGATGGAAATAACCATCTCTATCAAGTAAATTTAACATTGACCAATGACAATGATCAAGACCTTCGAACTCTTAGCGATCAGATCCGGCAAGAGACCTTTCCAGATGAAGAAGGATGGTACAGATTGGGATTATTGATGATTAAAATGGGTCAATTTACGAAAGCTCATGAAATTTATAAAGTTTTACTTCATCAAACAACAAATGAGAGTGACAAGGCAAATATTTATCATCAGCTAGGCCGAATCAAACAAAATCAAGGAGAATTTCAAGAAGCACTTTTCTATTATGAAAAAGCTCGTACAATTCGACAGCAATCACTTCTTTCCAATCATCCTGATTTGGCCATGTCCTATAACAACATCGGTTTGGTGCATCACATCATGGGTGATTATCCGAAAGCACTGTCATCTCACGAAAACGCTCTTGCAATTCGACAATCACTTCCTTACAATCAAACTACAATCACTTCCTTCCAATCATCCTGATTTGGCTATGTCCTATAACAACATCGGTGCGGTATACTAAAAAATAGGTAATTATCCAGAAGCACTTTCATTTCATGGAAACGCCCTTGCAATTCGACAAAAGTCACTTCCTTTCAATCATTCTGATTTGGGTGGTTCCTATAACAATATAGGTGTGGTGCATGAGAATATGGACGACTATTTAAAAGCTCATTCATTTTACGAGCGTGCTGTACAAATTGGACTACGATCATTACCCACAAATCATCCAACTCTTGAACAATGGAGAAGAAATCTCGAACGTATGAGAAAGAAATTATAATTTCTTTCGATATTTTTTTTGAAAGTAAAATAAAAATGGTGAAAAAGAAAATATGTCCCTATTGAAACTCTGTTCTTGTTGAGAACACAATATAAACAGTAACACTCACCGATAAGGTAAACAATACATACTGAAAACATATGTATTGTAGAAAAGACCTTCTTAAGGGTGTGGGTGTGAATGTATGATGGATATATAATATACATCCACACCCACACCTTCAAGATGGTGACAGCGAAAATAGGTGGTTTTGAAATGAAAGTTTTTCTAGGAGAACAAATTGTTTTTTTTTCATTTAGAGACAATAAGATCGAGGATGAAAGGAACTTCTAATTTGCAGGAAAAAAATTATTTCGAGCTTCTTCTTGACATAAAAATAAATACATTCTCTATCGACAGAAACACATTATTTTTCATGATGTATTAGTACTTTCGGTGCCTAAGATTTTTCTATTATTTAGAGCAGTGCAAATTTAAATCAAACATCGATTTCATAAACTAGAGACTACAGCGTAACATTCTATTCCATTTTTGCAGTTCTGCTTTGAATTTTAAAAAACACAAAAAAATGTCCTGTCTTGTGTGATTTTGCTCATATTTGTTACAAAATCACCTCCTTCAGCAGCTAAGACTTTATCTGGGTGTGGATGTGAGTAGTTATCTAATTTAATCTGAAAAATATCGAAAATAGTGAGAAATAATTATATTTATAGTATAACAACAATCATGATTTTGAATGTATAAAATGAAAAATACCTTTTATATTTTTGTTCCCAATTCAGAATAAATGAAAGAGACTAAAAAAACAGTGGTAAATCTTTAATGATGATCCTATAATAAAATTCGTTTTTTTTAAATTATACAACAGAATTGTAGTAAACTGCAAATGATGAATCATTTTTACCTCGTTTATATTTAAGAGAACAATATTCTCTTTTTTTTCTAATAACTTTAAAAAATATTTTTTTATATATCTAATATGAGAATATAGTTTCTATTGAGAGATTAGTCAAATATTTAATAATATTACATTCGATATGGTATACTAGAAAAAATTCTTATCTTTCATTTTTCATATCAATATAAATCTACTATAATAGATTTTTTTCTTTATTTTATTGTACTCATTCTTGTTCTCTATCGTTTATTTTATGTTTTCCAGTGAATATATTATATTATATTTTGAAAATAGTGCATTCAATAATAAACAAAACAAATGTGTTTTGCCAAGTCATATACTTTCTGTAATAATAAATGAATTTTTTTTCTTACCTATTCTCTTTTTGAATAAGTAAGTTTTTTTATTAGTCAAAGAGCTTTTACAAATGAAAATTTTTCAGAAACAAGATTTAAATATACGTAGATTGTGCTATCATATCTAAGAATGATACTTTTTTTTTCTTTTTAGTTAATATTTCATCACTATTATCTTTGAACGATATTATAGATTATTAATCTGCTCTTAAATATTTTTTTGAAACCTTAAACAAACGTTTCCTAAATATGACTCTTCCTTTTTTTTTGTTTTTGCATCTGATAAACCATGCGTAATATGAGAGAAGAAAACAGAATCGCTGCTGACGTGATGATATAATAGAAAGTGTAAGTATTTATTAAAGACACCGAAGAATACTCCGCTACCATATTTTTTTTGTCCTCTTCTTATTTAAAAAAAACAAATTTAAGTTAAACAAATATAACACAACTGATTATTTATTTCACCAATATCAAGTAAGATACAGAAATAGAATACTTCCCAATTACATAATTGTGATCACTTATAGTATCATTCTTTATGTTTTTTTCTATATACAGTACTCGCCAAAAAAACTTGCACAAAATTGTTTTTTGCTTGAAACAAAAAA